AGCTGAAATGGACTGGTTTGGGCCATTTTGAATCAGAAAATTGTATGATCTACTATACTGGGAATGACACATTAAAGAATAGCTTGGTATTCATCATCAAAAAGAATGTTTCAAGATCCACCCTGAAGCATAATCCTGTCAGTGATAGGATAATATCCATACACCTACAAGGAAGACCAATTAATAGTCTCTAGCCTATGGTATGCTTGGACCCTGCATGTAGCCATGTCATTGCTCAGCAGCCTGCTATGTTCTGCTGATCTTGGAACTTAGAATGGACTTAAGTTAATGGCCTGCCATGTGGTTTGGTAACATCGGGACTGTGCCTTTTTACATGTCAACCTTGGGGCTTCTCAGCCTCAGCAGCCAGCAGCTGTCTGAGTGAAGAAATGCCTCTAGCTCCAGTGGTCTGGGAGCAGGAGGTAGAGCTGGACCCCAAGGTTGAGGGGCTTTCACCCAGCCCCTAGGGCCTGGCACTTTGAACTTGGACTTAAAGCCTCCCAATTGTAAGAATAAACTCCTGTTTTTTAAGGCCATCCCATGTGTGCTATATTTCTTGTCAGAGCGGCACTAGGTAACCAGAAGAATATAAGACAATATTATTCAAATTTATGCACCAACCACAAAAGCCAAAGAAGGAAATTGAATATTTTTACCTTTTGCAGTCTGGAATTGAACAAACATGCCTTTAAGTTGTATTTATTATTACTGGTAATTGAATTGTGAATGTTAGAAACAAAGAAGAATCACTGGTAGTTGGAAAATAGGGCCTTGGTGACAGTAATGACAGATAGAATTTTGTAACACCAATGACTTATTCATTGCAAATACCTTTTTTCAACAATACAAATGGTGCCTATACACTTGGATTTCACCAGAGAGAATACTGACTACAGGAATCAAACTGATTACATCTGTGGAAAGAGGCAATGGAAAGGCTCAATAGCTTCAGCCAAAACAAGGCCAGGAGTTGACTGTAGAACAGACCATCAGCTGCTCATATGCAAGTTCAAAGCTGAAGCTGAAGATAATGTAAACAAGTCCACAAGAACAAATACATGACCTTGATTATATCCCACTTGCATTTAGAGATCATCTGAAGAATAAATTTGATGCCTTGAATACCTAATCCACTGAAACTAGAGGAATTGTGGGATGACATCAAGAACATTATACATGTCCTCAGCTTATATGACTGAGACCAGAAGACCTACAATGTGCCTGACTACCATGGTCAACCACTCCGAGGAGGATCTAAGTAGGATATCCTAGATAGAGGGGTAGAACAATGTGGAACAAAAGTCAAAAGCAGTTGAAAAAAAAAAAAGGGGGGGGACCAGGTTTGCTGGTCTGTCAGAATCTGATGAAACCACTGAGACTATGCCCTTAACTGCCCTTCAGGCCTGGAATTGAAATCCACTCCTGTGGCTTCCAGCCAAACAAAAGAGAGGCATATGAGGTCAACATTTACACTAGGTAGATACACTCCTTGGAGAGAACAATCATGGGAGAATAGAAGGGCTGGGTATGCACAGGGAGACAGCTCAGGGGGCAGGAGTCCGTGGAGGGAAGGACACAGGGAAGAGGTAACTATGGGGAGGAAGAGGGAGGGGAGCTGTTGCATTGTGGTAAATTGTAGTCATCGTTATGAGATAAAGTGTATGTGAACTGCTGTATGGAAAGTGAATTTGCTCTGTAAACTTTCACCCAAATCACAATTAAAAAAAAAAAAAAATCATACATGAAGAAAGCAAAAGGACTTTAGAAACACAGGAAAGGAAGAAAAGACCAAAGTGGATGTCCGAAGAGACTTGGAAACTTGCTCTTGAATGAAGAATAGCTAAAGCAAATGGAAGAAATGACAAGATAAAGGAACTGAAGATTTCAAAAAGCTGCTCTAGAAAAAGAAGACAAAATCATTTATGATAATGAAATGTTCAAAAATATTTAGAAAATCAAAAGGGAAGAACATGCATGGCATGTCTCAAGCAGAAAGAACTGAAGAAAAAATTTAAGCCTCAAGTTGCAATATTGAAAGACTCTATAGGAAAAATATTGAGTGATGCAGGAAACATCAAAAGAAGATGGAAGGAATACTCAGAGTCACTGTACAAAAAATAATTGATCAATGTTCAATTATTTCAGCAGTTGGCATATGATCAAAAACCAATGGTACTGAAGGAGGAAGTTGAAGCTGCACTGAAGGAATGGTGAAAAATAAGGCTCCAGGAATTGATGGTACACCCATTGAGATGTTTCAACAAGCAGATGCTGTGCTTGAGGCACTCACTTATCTACGCCCAGTAACTTGGAAGACAAGCTACGTGGTCAACTGACTAGATCCATATTTGTACCCATTCCAAGGAAAGATGATCCAATAAAATGTGGAAATTATTGAACAATATCATTAATATCACACACAAGTAAAATTTTACTGAAGATTTTAAAATGCTTGCAGCCGTATATTGATAGGGAACATCCAGAAATGCAAGCTGGATTCAGAAGATGACGTGGAACAAGGGATATTATTGCTGATGTCAGATGGCTCTTGGCTGAAAGCAAAGAATGCCAGAAAGAAGTTTACTTTGTTTTATTGACTATGCAAAAGCTATCAGCTGTATAGATCATAACAAATTATGGAACACCCTTCTCTCCTATCCTCTGTAATCTATCTGTTGAATAAAATCACATGTATTCTTCAAGGCCTACTTCAAATCTGTGCCTTGAAACCTCAAGTTATAATTGCAGAGATTATATACTATTAGCACCTAGCACAGTGCCCAGTGATTAATGTTTGCCATGGTAAAAATCCTCCTGTGTTTTCATGAATTTTATTCTTTAGGTATGTTTATGGAGGTCATCAGCTGTGACCAAATCCCAAGAAGTTTGTGGAAAGTCCTTTCTTCCCCAGTCTCATCGAGAAAAGCTTGTAAATGCTGAAATTCCGTGAAACTTTTAAGTTAACAAAAATTGCAATAGGTCCCTCAAGTAATCAACCTTGACCATGTGATAATCCTCTTATCTTGTTAAAAATGACTTTCAAATTAAGTCCTCATGTTATCTTCATTTAATACAGTGACTATTCTCAAGAAAGTCATGCTATTATTTTAAATACATTTGTGGAGTTTTCCAGATTGCAAAATACGTGTACAAATCACCTCGTTTAACGCCATCATGATCCCAGGGCTTGGAAATGCAAAGGATAACTTTCATATGCCATTTATATTGTCAAGCAAATCTGGGAGTCTTTTTCAGCAGACAATCTAAACAAATTCTGGTGGCTTAGGGAGAAAATTTAGGTTTTTACCTATAGCTATTACCCTCCAAACAGCATGAGGAAAACGACACTCTTATTCTCTAGAAAGCAAGATTGCTTATCAAGAATTATGATGGGGATTTGCAATCCCAAATGAATATTCTCCTGTACTTTCCAGTTATTTAAATGCTGAGGGGCTCCATTCCAAACTGGTTAATGTTATCACTTGAATCTGGGGCCTTCCACCATGTTGTTGTCATAACAATCTCTGGGGCAATTGATGCTAGTTCTCTCTCTAGTGCTGCTATTAAGAGAAATACTAGAAGTTAGTTTTAACAAACCAATTTATTTTCTCAGTTAAGAGGCTGTAAGTCTGAGATCAGGGTGCAAGCTTTCTGTTGACTCTGGGGAAGGTCTTTGTCTCGTTTCTGTTCCTTGGCTTCTTGGTGATCTTCACATGGCATGGCTTCTATCTTCCCCCAACTGTTTGCTTGCTTAAGTTCTCTCTCAAGAGACTGACTTAAAACATATCCCACACTACCTCAATAACGTAACAAAGAAAACCCATTCCCAAATAGGATTATAACCACTACAGGGGTTAGGATTTACACCACTTATTTTTTTTGGGACACAATTCAATCCTTAACAGGATTTTACTACAGGAAACTCATCTTCTATCTTGTTTTCTGTATGTAGAGACAGTCTGCTTGATGGCCCAGGAATGGCAGGGTAGTTAATGTCCCATGTGGCAAAACTTTGATCACTGGAAGATATAAGCTGGCAATTATTCTCCCAACCTTGTTAGTTTTTCTACTTTCCTTGTGTATAAGGCAGTATAGCAAGCTTTTAAAAACCACAAGTTTGTACTCCACTGTTAAAGACCACTATCCACAGACCTTGGCTCTGTAATATTTTATTTGCATCTTCCACTATCAGTGATGTCGGGGGTACAACGTGTTTAGTCCCAACTCAGAGTCACACATTGGGTTATGGTCCTGGGACTACAGGTAAATCAAGTAGGTAAGAAGAATCAACACGTAGGTTTACAGTATGTTGTGCTAAGTTTTTCATAAAAGTATGAATGTTTGGAAAGAGAGAAGATAGGGTAAATAGAAGGCTAGTGGTTCAAACCCACCAGCCACTCCTCGGAAGGAGGACAGGGCAATCCACTAGATACAATGCCTCGGAATCCCCAAGAGGGGTTGCTTTGAGTCAGATCAACTCTATAGCAGTGAGCTTGCTTGAGCTTGAGGGGAAATGAAAGCGCTTACTTCTTTGGAGAAGCTGTTTCAATTCTCTTAACTTACAGAGGTCACTGGAGTCGATGAGTGACGCAAATAGATCTAGACAACGTACAGCAGCTGCTTCCTCACCTAGCTTGTTCAGAGACACAAGGGCATAAACCCACAGGCATGTCATAGTTTGTGTATACTTCAGTTCAGGGGTATAGATCTATGCCCCAAGACTTTCTCAGCATGAGCCATTTGTTGGTTTTATTGTAATCTTAAGAGATTCTAACACATAACAAAGATGAGATATTTATCAAAGTTCCAGAGTCACGTGATCTTCAGTCAACAAAGAAAATGTCATACACTAATCTTCAATTTTTTAGTCAAAGATCTCTTGAAAAATTCACTCTGTGTATGAAAAATTATTCTAGGTAAGAAGAGCAAAAAGATGAACCGTCTGTTAACTTCCTCAGTCAGCATTTTACTGGGTATGTTATATAACCAATACTCCAAAATTTACAGCTTGTAACACAACTTTTATTAGAAAAGTTATACATAACATAGCATCAACTATTTTCAAGAACAATATTAAACCCGATAAACAATAAAAACCAGGCTAACAATGCGTAACAAGAAACTAATGACCTTTCTATAATCAAACATTTAATTATCTACAGTGTCTTTTTACAAAGGGAAAAACCATGGTTTTACAGGCACATCATACTGAAAATAAAGCTGCAAGAGCAATTTTATACAATTACCATTCTCAAGAAACCAAATCATTAAAACAGTAATCACGAGTTCACAAATTTAAAACATTTCACATAATTTTACATTATTGGGTATACCCTTAAGTCTGAGTTTCAAGTGATTTTATTCCCACAAAAGTGCCAACACTTACGCTAGAACTTTCAGTGTGAGTAATTTTGTCCTAAAAAGTTAAGACATGTTTTGATAATCACAATAGTCACATAATTTCTGACGCTATCTGGTTTGTTAATAATAAAATCTTTATTTGGACGTGTGTTTCTTCACTTAAATTACAGGAAACCGGATAAAGGATTTCTGTTTCAAAGCTATAAAATAAAGTTCCAAATACAGGAGTGTGCAGCATTGGCGAAAGAGATCAGTACTAACACTTATAATAAATATAAGAGAAGCCATTAGTTTTTACAGCATTGTATGCTTAAAGCCTAAGTCAACTAGTGTATCATTTCCCATCAATCTGCACTTTTAATAGGCACGACAATTTCTATTCTCATGATTTGAATATTCAGACAAATATATCCAAAATCTTTTAAAAACTTTGATTTACAGCTCCTAGAACATTATAAAAATTTTTAATAGTCTTTCTACTTAAAAAATGTCTACTTCTGTTCATTTTGGGGCCTCATTAAAAACAACAGATATCAGGACAGCACAACAGGAGGACTCAATGGAATGATTTACAAAACACAACACTTTTATACCAAGTAATACCTATCATTTTGCAGCGGAAGGCAATCAGTACAGCATAATCTCACATTCACCCTTGCTCATTATGGAATTATACCTTAAAACACTGTCTCAAGAGGTCAACCTCTTGTTTTCTTAGGTACCATCACTAAGCACGGTTGTTAACAGAAAGACTGTCCATGTTACTGATGGGTAAAGACAATTTCTTTTGTCAAAGACTCACACCACAGTTTCTAATCAAATTGTCAGGCATTTTCCCAGACAAGTTTACAATGCAGTAATGGAAAATAAAGGTAAAAATCATGAGTTTCGACTGCTACTCGACATTATTACATGCACCAATATTGCACACATCTGTTCTGAACTGTGAAAATAATCTTCTGGGCCTCTGGGCTGCTTGTTTTCTCCATCAGAACACAAACACAATCCGTAAGTAGTTTCCCTTAAAGATGAATTAATAAATTTAAAATACTGGGGAGAAAAATGAAGAAAGTAAAAGGCAGAGACTTTGTACAGACAAAAATCTGCATTTTCTGAAAGGGTTTTGTGTGCCCTACACATGGGGGCAATTTGTACACACTAGTGAAATGAACACTGGCTATAATGCTGTGAAGCTGCTCAAATGATATGGAATCTTGGTCCAGGGGTGGCGATGATGTCACTGTATGGTTCTTCCTGCGTCAGCTCAATAGCTTGCTGCTTTTTAAGAACCAAGAAGCTGTAGAATTTTGCTGCAGCTTGCTTTCTGTTCGTGTTTCGACATAACTCAAGCAAACTGATAGATTCAGCTCCAGTTTTGGCAAGAGCTCGCTGGGGGAGAAAAAAGGATGGATTAAATGAAAGTAACTTGTACAATAACATAGTTTTAAAGGGATGCCAATTTTGGTTACTGGAAAATGTGCACTATATTCTGCTGGAGGCTAGAACTGGACTTTCAAAAATTACAACCATCCCAATTTCAAGGTAGAAGATTCTTTTCTTGATTTAACAAATCAAAATATATGAATGACTATAAAATGAAAATACACTAAATTTTATATTTTCACAGACTCAACACGGAGTCTACATTTTCCTGTACCATCCTACTATTAAAAAATGAAACAACTGTTTTTATTCTGCACCTGAGGCAGTGTGCTATGCTGAGGGACTGGACAGAAACTGATTGCCACATTCATCATGAAGGTAAAGGGCTAAAGCATGGAGATCAAAGGAGAGCCACCAGGTGGTCTAAACTGTTAACGCGCTTGGATGCTAACTGAAAGGCTGGAGGATCAAGTCTACTAAGACCAAAAAAACCAACTCACTGCCATCAAGTTCATTCAACTCAGAGAGACCCCTCCTTGGGTTTCTGAGGCAGGATCACTAAGGAAGTACGGAAGTAGATTGCCCAACCTTCCTTCCGAGGAGTGGCTGGTGAGTTTGAACCACCAGCCTTCTGGTTAGCAGTCAAATGCCTTAGGCACTACACCACCGGAGCTCCCAGTCTACTAAAAGGTGCCTCAAAAGAAATGCCTGCTGATTCACTTCTGAAAAATCAGCCACTGACTACCCTGTACAGCACGATTCTACCTGGATATATATGGGATCATCATGGGTTGAAAGGGACTCGACAGCAAATGGTTCTTGGTTTAAGATCAAAGGAAGAAATTTAGAGAAATAAAGCAGTTCCAATGTACATTATTAACCCGAGTCATTTCTTTGGGTAACTAATGTTCTACATTAGTAAAGCCAGCACTTACAGTTTTTTAAAATTTCAATTAAAAAAACACAACAACTGTCCCTTGAATCCATTTTAGGAAGCCTTGAGTAACTTGCATGGTATTTTATAGATGCTCAAGATACCTCATCTCCATCTGACATACTAAGGCCTAGGAATAAGTGACAAAATTTCTCAGCCAAAAACAGAATACAGACAACTACACAGAACTCCACAAAGCATCACTACAGTTTTGCTTTTCGAGATCGTCATGGGAACGTGTTTAGGACTAATGTGTGCCTAACTCAAGCCATGGTATTTCTAATCATCTCATATGCATGCAAAAGCTACATACTGATTAGGAAGGCTGAAGAAGAATAAGAATTGATGCCTCTGAATTACAGTGTTAACAAAGAATACTGACTCTACCATAGATACAAGAATAAACCAATCTGTCTTGGAAGAACAGCCAGAATGCTCCTGAGAAGCAATTATGGCAAGACTTCATCTCACATACTTTGGACATGTTACCAAGAGGGAAAGTCCTGGAAAAGGCCACCATGCTTGGTAGAGGGGTCAGTGAAAAAGAAGACAACTGAGATGTACTGACATAGTGGCTGCCAACAAGGAGCTCAAAGACAGCAACAACTGTGAAGATGCGCAGAACTGGGCAGTGGTTCATTCTGTGGTACAAAGGGTGGCTATGGGTCAGAGCTGACTTGATGACACTCAACTAAAACATGGGAAAGTATTTATTTACCTTATTTTTATGCAAACAAAATACACATTATACATTTTTCTGAAAACCACACCACACCTCTTATGTTAGTTTCCTATGCACACTATATGCATCTGTGTTATTTATGTGGGTGGTGTTGTATTTGAGAAAAACACCACTCATGGCAAAACAGTGTAGGTGTTTAAATCATTTTTTAAATAACGTTGTTTGGAAGAAGACAGATTTTTACAAACATGTGTTCTGGTTTAACTTTGTTTCCTCTGAAGTGAGCACCGCCAGCTTCTTTCAGAAAGCATTTTCCCCAAGGCTACCCAGCATACCTGAAGACCATGGAGCATCTGCTGAGTTCTTTTGTTCCATCTTCTTTCTTCTTGATCCTGATCACCTCCCGAAGCATCTTCATCCTGGGGAAAAATGACAAAAGAACAACAACAAAAAACAGCTGACAAGAAATGATTCTGCTGCAAAACAAAATACGTCTGTATTTCCTGGATGCTCTTAATTTTGTGTTCTGGCTGACAGAAAACTGTATCTGAATCTGCTAAAAAAGCACTTAGCATCCAGTATGAATTCTGAAGTTTGTTTTTCTTAAAGTATGAAAGTCCTTTTCACCTTCAAGCAAACATGTGGCTGACTATATGAGTCTGTATTGCTCTACAAGAATGTGGTATATGTAACATGGTCCACAGCCTGTTGGTGATCTATTGGTCACTGGCCCCCAATAAGATAAGGAATTTGTGCCAGAATATATACAGTATGTCACAACACAATTTCAACTAACCCTGTTTTCTGGTAGCATGATTTTCTTAGATTTTATATTCTGGCAGAAGCTCCTAATCTCATCACAGACCACAGCCCAGAGAAAAGCAATGCTGAGTAAGTAGTACTGGTTGATGTATTTTATTTATTTTTTAAAAGGGCTATAACCCGTAAGTATTTCACTTCAGACATCCAGTTATAGACCTACCATCTGGAGACCTGATTCCTAAATGACATTTTGAACTCTGGGGCTAGCAGAGAACAGCAGGTGAAATGTACCCAGGCTGTCTCAGAACAACATACCATACACCAAAGAGCCAGGATTCAGCAGTATCACATGGAACAAGGAAGCATATCAATCAATTTTTAATTCAATTTTGATTCAATGCTAAGTCTGGTATAATGGTATAATCTAGTATACCTAATGGCTTTGGGGTTAAATTTTGGTTTGAAAACAATGTAGTATTCTTACTTAAGACACAACTAACTAGTTGTGAAATCTACCTGGCTTGCACAATGATAAATTTGAAATTAGATGTTAATGAAAATGTAATCGATCTGTAACTTTTAGTTTTAGGACAAATTATAAAGTTTTAGTGCAACCTCAAAGATACCTTATTTTAAACTTAAAAGTTTAAATAAAGTATCCATTTGTTAACAATATCAAATAGAAAGATCAATAGGTTTCATTCTAAGTCTTGTACAATAATTACCTCAAAGATCCAGAAATATGGGAAATAATTACTTCAAAGACCCAGAAATATGGGAGAGAAATACCCCGAAGAGCCAAAATATGGCCCAGGAAAAAGAAATTCCCGAAGCACCTCTATTTTGTTCTTTTTTTTAAAAAATGAAAGTCACTCAAACCTTCCCTCAGCCTATTTTAGCCAAGTCATGCCCCACCCCAATCTAATTAAAACAAAAACCACACAAATAGAAAATGTTTAGTTATCTGATTTCCAGGCCACAGACAGAGAAGAGGTTATACAAAGGCAGAGGCTAATAGCAGTAAGAATTAACCACTGACCACAACATAATAAAAAGCTGCTACTAGCAATTTAAAAGTCCAGTAGGAAATCAGAAGGGGCAGTTCCAAAAGGGAGCCAGTGAGTTATAGCACAGCATAAAATCTGATGTTCTTAATGGTGATCTAAGTTTAAGTATGTTTGCACTCAAACTTTTCCCATCACTCTGATGATTAATATCAATTAATTTCAGTATGAAAAAATAAAAGAGGTGGCTGAAGATCTGTGTTAAATCCGGAATGGGAAATGACTTTACAAAGCTTCCCTACCTCCTCCTCTTCATCATCTTCTTTCTCCTTCTCTTTCTCCTTCTCTTTTTCGGGCAGGAGCTCTAGCTCTGGGATCAGCTGACAGAGACTGGGAGGTTCTTCTGGGGGAAGCTCGACAGGAGGCACTTCTATTTGCTCCACCTGCTGAGGCTGAAAGCAGTCAACACGAAGCAATTACAACAGGTTACCAGTTAAAAAAAAAAAACCCAAACTAACTGCCAACGAGTCGATTCAGACTCACAGAGACCCCCTTTGGGTTTCCGAGGCAGTACATCTTTATGGAAGTAGACTGCCCAGTCTTCCTTCTGAGGAGTGGCTACTGGGTTTGCAATATGCATATATGCAGTTGCTGTTTGCAAGATGCATATATGCAATACTGGGGTTATATTTCCACACTTTCCCCACAAACTGTTTCTTCTTTTATTGTAACGCTGCATTAAAGTAGTTTATAAAAAACTTCTATTATCCCAAAACAAAAGTATGGCAGCAAATAATAGGAATGAGATGACTCCCGTTTTCTCTCTTATAGTTCCATCACTTCAGGTTTTTAAATATAAATAGTTAGAATATTAAAATACAAGTCTTCAACAAACCAGAAAAGTGACAAGGGAAGAATTCCCAGATGAGAGCAGTGTCACCCACCCACTTTCTACTCCCATTGCTGAGCTCAGACAGAAGAATGCTCTGACAACTCTAACACCAGTGGGCACCGAGGACTAGTCCTTAAAACTGTCAGAGCATTCTCCTGCCAATAGCAATTAGTGGAGGCAGAACCAGCAGCCCGAGGTTATGAAAAAGTCTTCCTTTGTTCAAATTTATTAATTCTATAGCTTATAAGGGTGGGAAGCCTGATACCAGATCTCATTTCCTTTATACTTATTGAGCTTTCCTATCCTAAGTAAACTTAATGACAGACAAAGACTGAATGAAAAAATGAAGTGTTTTTTTCCTGCTGACAAGTATATTCCGACTACTTAATAACGTAGCCTAAAACTGTTTAGTAATAGAAACACTCAGGAATGTTTGCTAAAGAATAAAGCAGAGATAAATTCAGAATCGTGTATCCTAATTTAGCCAAGTATGCTCAATCTGGGCCACTAAAGCCAGAGCCTATCTGATATGAAGAGTTGGAAAGATGCAGGTGTCTCCCCAAACACCTCCCCCACTTAGAGAAGATCATGTTCACATCCTCAGCTGCCACTCTTCCTCTCTGGACCCATTCCGTGATATGCTGTTTTCTGCCAACGACCAAGGTACTTCAAAAGAGCTCCTCTGCTACCAAGAACCAAAAATGATTCTCTGAACACTACCAGTATGTGGTGTTGTTGCTGTTATGTGCCGTCAAGTTGGACCAGACTCACAGCTACCTCTCCTTGGGTTTCCAAGGCAGCATCACTACGGAAGTTGATTGCCCGACCTTCCTTCTGAGGAGTGACTGGTGGGTTTGAACCAGCAGCCTTCTGGTTAGCAGTCAGTGCCTTAGGCACGGACAGATATGCTTACTGGCATCACAGGCTCTGGGTCCACTTGTCCGGCCTTCCGTTTAACTCCCTGAGGTGGTGGTGGTGGCATGGCTGACTCATCCAAGTTTGTTCTGCTAGTTTCCATTACTGACTCCTGGAGGCGGCTTGGCTCTTCCAAAATGGGCTCATCTGCAATTGGTCATATGAAGAGGAGACTAAAGCCATTGAGTATAAGTAACATTTCAGAATCACTTAGTTTTGAAACTAGTACACTAAGATATAAGTATCTCTCCCCATGAAGGTCAGATCAAACTGTACTTCAACAAAGACTACTACTCAATTTATAACAATATACTTAAAGATGCCCCCTCCACCCACAATTAAACTCACTGTTATTGAGTCAATTCTGACTCATAGTGACCCTACAGCACAGAGAAGTGCTCCACAGGATTTCTAAGGCTGTAAATGTTCACAGAAGCAGAATGCCACATCTTTCTTTTGTGGAGCAGGTAGTGGTTAGCAGCCAAACAGTGAATCACTGCACCACCAGAGCTCATCAAAGGTGGGAAGGGGCCTTAAAAAGACCAGTCTCACTTCTAGTCTAATTCAGGACAATCTTTTGGCAGACTATCACCCAGCCAGATACCTTCTGAGAACAGAAAGCTTTAAATTTAACAAGCATCTTCTTTTTCAAAAAATTAAGAACACTACCTTACTCCTGATTTGTTTTACTCTGGCAGTGTACAAGGTAAATTTTAAGCCAAACACTCCTTTAAGCTGATTCAAGTAACTATTCCAATAGAACAAACCAATAACATCACGCTGCTGCTGCTGCTGCTGCTGGTCCTCTCTGGGAACCTCTGGATTTTCAAATTCTTTGAGGAATTCATCCAAATTATCAGCTTCTCCTCCTTTCCTCCTTTTTCGAAGGTCTTCTGGTACAAGTGGTGTAAGACAGCGTGTAAAAAGCTATTAAAAAGATAAAAATTTTAACTAAAAAAAATTACACTAACTGAAGACCCACCATTTCTATAAGCATGCTTTTACATAAAGGTGTAAATATGAGTTAGCATGTTTTACTTAATGTTATACTCACGCTTCATTCCATCTTAAAGTGATTTTAAATATGGTTTTAAAATTATAGCTGCAGAAATTTTAGACAAGTTGAAAATAAAGAAATGAAAAATTTTTATTGTCTCATATCTCAGAGAAAACCCTAAGATTTCTAGTTTATTTATTTATCTGTAGTTTATTTTCATATTAACACAATTAAATCTCAACACAATTGGAATCACATAAAACAGCTTTACAGCATGCTTTATTCCCTTGTAATTGTGGGATAGTTTTAATTATCATTTTTAATGGCTGTGTAATATTCCATCGAGTAAAAAAAAAATATATAAAAAACACAATTCCTTCATTTTTCATTTTATTTTTAGTTTCATTTATTTTCGGTTTCTCCCTTTTCCCTCCTGCTATAAACAGTTGGGTATGACTTGACAGTACGATAGCACGTAACAACAACATAAACAACATTGTAGCAAACATCTTCACATAAAATAGCTCTTCCCCAATTTTTAATTACTTTCTTAGAAAAACTCCTTAATAGTAAGACTATTCAGTTAAAGAATATGAATACTTTAGGGACCTACTTCCAAATGATTACAAGTCACAGTGTTTCCAACAAAGAGCAGTTTAACCTAACTTGCTGCTGTGGATTACATTACATTCAGAATATAAGAAAGACTATCTCCTATGTCAGCTGCAAATAGAGGAACATCCTCACAGCACTGCTTCACTCATCAGACACGTGTAAACCTTATTTTGACAGTTTGGAAGCAAAAGAGAGCAGAAATGCCTGCAAGTGAAAAACTACTCTTGTCAAATCAGTGTTCTTTATTGTGTGGAAAAAAACAGAACTGCCATTTTACTTGGAAAACAACACATAAAAGATTGTAGATTTGAAGCACAGTACACACTAAAGCAACAGAACTAATGGCTTATTGTAAAAGATCAAGGATAGAGAACTATTACTGATAACTTCAGTCGTTATTATGGGAGACAATGAATTCTCTATCTTTTAGAAATGAAGGTGTCACGTATCACTAGGAAAATGGATATTCTTGACAAGAATACAGCAGCTATTGAATGATAAGGTTATGTTCAATATATATTGTAATTTAAGGGAGAAAAAAAGGGAACTTGTCATAGATGGAAAAATACTTAATAAAATGGTATTCAAGTAAAGGTTTCAGAACTTTATTTAAAAAAATAAATAAAAATTTCATGAAATGGTAAAAATGCTGCAAGAATGTATTACCTTCAGTAGTCTATTATTCCATAAAGGCTGGGCAGGTAAAGAGAAAAGTTTCTCCACTCCTCCTGTCTCTTTCCACATCATCAATTTCTTGGTGGGTGGTGCCAGATCCAAAGTAGTCACGATATCAGAATAATCACTAAGTTGGGCTCTAATGGTTTTGCTATCCAATTCCTTGACACTGTCAACAATTAGCTTTCTCTTCCTCTTGGCTTTTGTTTCTTTGACTGAAATGATAAAAGAAAAGTGTCATTCTCCTGAGAGGCCAGCATGAAATATACATCAACTATATACTTGGTTTTGAAGGAGTGCTGGTGGCACAGTGGGTTTGGGTTTTTTTTTTTTCCAAAAAATACTTGGTTCTCAGTTTATCTCCTGCCTTCCAGACTCTAGTAGAAAAGTTAGGCCTCATAAAGCTAAGAATTTATTTTATGTTTTCTAAGTACCTACACTAGGAACTGATACACAGTAGATACTCAATGAAAATATCCTGAATGAATGTTTGAAGACTTTTCACACAAAATTAGTACAAAAATGCAGAACACATTTTGTCCATGTAGCTTTATATTGCAAACATTAAATATATTTGATTCAGATTTGGGCTCAAATCTTAGGTTCTGTCATTTATTCACTGATTGAACATGAAGCAAAGTTAACTTCACCTTGCTTAACTCTCCATGTTCTCTCCTCCAGCTACTGCATTTCAATCCCTGAAAGTACAAGTTCAAGATCTTATAAGGACTAACAAGGCCTACCTTATTTTAAACACTGCAGTTCATTTTATCTTCTTCCTTACCTCTTTTGTAGTTCTCATTTGCTACTATTTAACATAAAACACCCACTGCCATCCAGACTGATCCGACTCAGCAACCCCTCCTTGGGTTTCCCAGGCGGTATCACTACGGAAGTAGATTGCCCAACCTTCCTTCTGAGGAGTGGCTGGTGGGTTTGAACTGCCAGGCTTCTGCTTAGCAGTCAAATGCCTTAGGCACTACACCACCAGAGATCCCTACTATTTAATATAGTACATACATATTTTAATTATTTATTATCCATGTCTTCTAATTAGTATTTAAGTTCCATGAGGTTAGAGATTTGTTCATTACTGAAACTAATTTTAGAACCTTTGATAGCCCCAGGTTAAAAATAAAATAATAATAATAAAAAAAAGGCATTTTAAGGTTTTCCCAGCCCAAGTGTCCATGAACTGGTCTGTCAGTATGTCATACTGTGGTGGCTTGTGCGTTGCTGTGAGGCTGGAGGCTATGCCACCAGTATTTCAAAAACCAGCAGGGTCACCCATGGTGGACAGGTTTCAATGGAGCTTCCAGACTAAGACAGACTTGGAAGAAGGAAGGGGGTCCCCCACTTCTCAAAGAATTGGCCAGTGAGAACCTTATGAATAGCAGTGAAACACTGTCTGATACAGTACTAGAAAACAGAACCAGGCAGTGTTTTGTTCTGTTGTACACAGGATCACTAGGAGTCAGACACGACTTGATGGCACGTAACAACAGCCCAAGTGTACAGACTGTAGAATTCTGGAAGATAACTGACTAGTCAAATCTTATCCTTTACTGTAAAACATCCCTAAATATCTTCTAATTGTTATACTAGGGAGCTAATATTTTGAGGACTACAAAACACTAAGCTATAAAATAGCAAAACGACTCTTCTTTACTTTTATATATCACATCAACTTGTAAAGATATTCCACATGCTACCCAAATTATAATGGAATAAAGTTCCTACGACAGATGACTGTGACAAAGCAGAAAATTGCTTAGTTTTCTAAAATGGGAGTAGCATATTAGTGGACATCTAAGAGCCAAAGCAGGATCTTATGTTTCAAGCTCTATAAATTAAAAGATTTGTTTGCTCACCTGTGATATCAATAGGTTCCAAAGCAAATGCTTCTTCCTCATTTGGAACAAGTGTCGTTTGATCAGTCATAGTTGGCATTGGTTCAACAGGATCCACTGAATCAGGACTATCAGGCCCACCCACTATAAAAACAGAAATATGGTTACAAAATGCTTGGCAAAAAACATCCTACAGCTGGGAAGCAGGAATCCACAAAATCGAAACAAACCCCATTGGTATCAAGAAAGAGCACTTTCCAGTTATGTATAAACCCCTCCAAAGTTGAAAGCAATCGGCCAAAAAAAAGGGGAAGGGGACAGGGTTTATCCAACACAGGAAAGAGTAAAAATTAGTAATCAATCTTAAGCACAGCTTTTAAGGATATAGTTACTGAAAGTCAGGACCTTTTGTCCTCTATATTAAATATGTTTGGACACCATACATTCATCCCATCACTGAACATTAAACACTTACTTGATACATTATCATCCTCATCCATATCATCATGTGTGGGCTGCTCGGGCAACATCACCCCTGTCTCAGAGAGAGCAGGGGGATCGTCAAAGATACCACCATCATTATTACTAATAAGTTTGTCATCTGAAACAGGGAAAGTATTTCAGTTATTGTCTGAAAAACAAGAGCTTAAAAAAAAAACAGTCAATCACTGGAATAAAATTATGTTAAAATGGATTTAATTTAAATCTGTATTCAGTTTAAATCAGTTTGTCTACAAAGTAATTTGTAAAAAGTATGAAATATGGAGATATGAAAAATATTTCTCACCAACATTTGTATTTTCTAGTTACTATTTTTAAAACATTATTTTCTTAGCATGGATAGCAAACACATGTAGAGCTATTTAAGAACATTTAAAACTCTGAGACTAGAACATTTAAACCAAATCAGATATTATGAAAACATTTTTAGGCTATACTTTTACAAAAATTTTTGCTTGAACCAACTGGTCTTGATCCACATGTTACCTAGGTATCTGAAGAAGACCCAGAACTACCAACTGCTCCTGAACATCACAAGTGAATAAAGAAATCACATCTACTCACTTACTATTTCATTATTTGACATTTCACATACACAATAGTAAAAAATCTAATACCTGACTATTTTGTGCATGAAAGATGCACACCTGGCAGTGATGAATGTCAAAGTGTGAGGTGAGAGATTGCTGGATGTGATAGTCAAGGTTGTGTGTTAACCTGGCTGGGATATAACTCTTTGTGGTCTGGCAGTTGTGTAATGATCTACTCACCCTCAACTGGTGTTTGGAACCTAACTAACCATGTCGGTACATAAGGAGTGGGTGTATGTTAGAATGATCGATCGCCTTGTTACCTACCTAATATACCACCATCATTTCCCTCTCCAAAATTGTCATCCTTGTATTGGTCTTCATATTCTAAATGGTTAATTTTCTCATTCAGATTGCTGGTGCTTTGCTCTGGCTCAAGCAAGAGGTTAGAAGCACTAGTGCTTACTAACATGTCGTCATCCTCAAAAGCACTGCCTTCTCTCATTATCTCACGATCGTCCATTCCAAAGTCACCTGAACAAATTTTATTATTAGTTGAAAAAGGTTAGAAACATCATAGTTACAAAAGAAAACAGCTCATTTTTATTAAATTATGATGTCACATTTCCTTACTGAAGTCTTACTTATCCTTGAATATAAAAACATTTCGTTTAAACACTAAACCTTTACCATTTAAATTTCATAAACTTGACGCTTAATTTCAAATAGGTGTCTCTGGGGCATGACCAGCAACTTAATCTTATATCCAAATTTAGGTTATCCAAAGTATGTTAGGTAAAGCTAAGTATTTATGTATGATAGATTCCATTAATATTCAAGGAATTACACTTCCTTGCTACAGTGTTTTCATTAAGAAAACAATTTGTCTGCTACCAGTTTCCAATATCCAAGTTTCTGTATAGCAGGAAGAGAACACAACTGATCCAAAATGATGAGTGTAAAAGTGAGCCTCATCTCAATGTTGGGCTTTTAAGACCAATCAATACACAGTTCTACTATCAGGATGTATGGGGAGCAGGAGGTGGCAAAGAATGAGCTCTAAATTTGGAGTGGAAACAGAAATCATACTTAATATACTTATTGGTGGCAGAACAAATTCTTTCCTTGATGGAAATTCACGAGATGTTAACATGAATGTAATACATTCTGTTAACATGAATGTAATACATTCTGTTAACATGAATGTAATACATCTGGTTTTCTTTCTGAATTTGCCAGTGGTGCCACAATGTAATTATAATGTTGTAGCTAATGGCTAGCAATTTATTTTCTATTACCAAAATCATTTTCTTGTAGAATACTGATGTTCCCAACTTCTTCTCTCATGGTTATCTCTTCCACTCTACTCTGATTCAGGCTGAACTGCTGGGCCACATCAATGTCACTTTAAGAAAAAGTTCAAAATACATTTTAAATGCAAGTCTCAAGTCTCACCGTAATGTAATTCTAAGCAAAAACTACTCCAATTCCCTTTATGAAGAAAAAAGAAAATATACATACAATCTTTCAAGGTTTCTTACATTTAATACTAAATAAATTTCAATACGATCCAAGTGAATTATGATTTGGAAATTAATTTAATTTGTAATTTAGTATAACTAACATACCACCAATGACCAGCAATCAAAATATAATATGCTGCAATTACCACATCTGGGGCTAAATAATAATAATAATATGAATTTTCATCAGTACCCTTCAGCTTACAGGTTGTGTGAACTCTGCAAAGTTACCTAGCTTTTCTGAGACTCTCAGTTTCTTCTTAATAAAATCAACCTTTCATATTGTTTAAAAATACTGAATAAATAACAAAAAATCAGTGTTACATGCCAACTTGGAATATCATTGGCCAAATATAGAATATAATACTTCAAAACAAATGATCAGCTTTGTTCCGTAAATGAATGGCAAGGAAAAAAACATTATGAGGGATGAAGGGCTACTATAAATTATTAAGAGAGATGACTGAGACATATCAACCAAATACAGTGTTGGCCCTTTTGTGCAGACCCTGATTCAAACATACCACGTGGCAACTGGGTACTTACTGGATATTATATTGAGGGACTATTGTTTTTTAAAGATGTGATTATTATGGCTATGCTTTAAAAATTCCTATCTCTAAAGACACACACTGCAGTATTTACATACGAAATAAAATATCTGTTATTTGCTTTAAAATCATCTGGTGGGAGTGGGTTGAACTGAGGAACACAAATAAAATAAAAGTGGCCATATGCTGATATTTACAATAGATAGATGATGGGTATATAAGGTTCATTGTATTAATCTCTACATTTTAGGTATGTTTTAAATTTTCCATGATAAAAATTTAAAATAAAATACAAAAAACGAGTAAAGTATGTAGATAGTTCCTAGCATTCACACACCCAAAATCAAAACAGGTCATAAATTTACTGTTAATTAGGCATCAACAGATTATTTCAAAAAGCAGAGAAATATACCATAAAATAAACAGCACGGTGTGAACAAGGTAATAGTTTGGTATAGAATGTTTCTTGGTTGTCAACTGTACTACTCAGCTACTATAGAAAACTACAGTCATGTTTCCTGTCGTGGTGTAATAGCTGGGATTTAAGGACATAAGAGGGTAACATCATACCACATTACTCTTGCTAGAAAGCCCTCTCAGTACAACCTTCTCCTCTTAAAGGTGTGCTATAGCAATGACCCTTTCTTGCTCTTCATAGAAAGTTACCTCATGTTTATTTATAAAAAGAACAAAAATTGTGGTTCTGATTATAGCTTGGTCAAGGTTGCCAGACTTTAAGTATACAGTATCACATACGTGTATGTCTTTTAAAAAAAAAAAACTTGAACAAAAGTTCAAGTTTACAGGTATCATTATATAAAGCACACACATGGACAACTGTTTAGTTTATATAAGCTTTGGTCTAAGTAAATAAAAATTCTCCTATCTCAGTTGTGTTAAAGTTGACATCCTCTACATGAGTTTTTTTAAAGAAACACTATCCAGGTTATACATTTCACATGGTAAACTAACCTAAATAAAAGGATATACATTTAAGTTACACGTTAACGTTAATTCAGTGCTATACATTTGAGAGCCAATAATGTTTTCTGTAAACCAAGCTAACAATTAAAAAACAGACACACAAACAACAAAAACACTACACGTACTCTAAGTCAGGCAGTGGCTGATCAAAGTCATGGAATTCTTCAGGTAAGGTAATGGCATTGTAAGCTGCTTCTCGGTTTTCCTCAGGCAGGTCAACAACACCTGAAAAAGAAATGCTAAGCTGAAAGGTCTATCAACACGACAGATTATTATTTAGGGATCAAAAGGAGGCAAGGTCAGTAGAATTTCCTAAGATTATATTCTACAAGAGTTGATAACATATGCAAAGTACCTGGAAGCACAAGGACTTCCATGTTCCCGCAATGAGCTGTACTACTAGCCAATACCCAAACACATCAAAGCACTAATAATTATATATTAAGCTGATAAAAAGGTCCATGACAACAAATAAGTAACAGTTTCCTAAATAAGCATGGAATTTATGAGGGGAGGAGTGACAGCATAGGAGGTATGCTCCAAAGGGTAAGGCATTGATTATTTTAGAGTGGGGCATTATGTGATTTTAATTTTTCATTATATTTTCTCCTGTATTTTTAAGTGTCTAAATATATGTTGCTTTTAAAAGAAAGACAAAAGCAAACAAAAAAATAAGTTATTTAAAATGCACTTAGTGGCCACTTATGTCAGAAATCATTCAAGTACTCTAGGATAGAGTACTTTGCCCAGACATTTTATTTCTAAACCTCAAAATTTTGACTGTTCAGATGTTAAACTGAAGTACTAGGATAGCAGAATAATAGAAGCTATTGTATAGGACATCTCTCCTATACATTTATTTTAATTAAATAAAATTCTACCACAGCTTTTAGAAATTATAGAATGATGTATGAATTCAGGTAAAGACCCTAGTAATTATTTACTCAGATGTATGTCTGGTTGCCAGAGTTTAGTTTTGGAATTAGTTTTAGACCTAACAAAACAACAAAAAATTACAGAGAACATTTAATGAAAAGTAACTATAATCTAGGTTAAAAGTTAAATTTGATCTTAAGAGTACACTAAAATTATTCAGGAAAAAAAAATTAAAGTTTTAAGTTTTTTTTCCTGAGTATTATAAAAATCATGTAACAATTAGTTTCCAATACTGCAGCCTCTAGTGACTCAGTTCTATGCAAGGTGCTGAAGAGTTCAAAGAAAAAGGCAACTCTAGAGGAAGAACATAAAGGACTGGTGTTCCTCAGAGGCACAGGCAGAACAAACAGTAAGGTGGGCTCTTCCCTTGAACCACTGCCTCTCTGAGTCTTCAGCAGGATCCTTGTATTGCAAACAAAACACACTGTTCTACAATACATGTTTAGCAGTTTTCCATATCAAACAAGAGAAATGTCAGAGTAAAAAAAGTTGAACAATACCTGGCCGGAAAGCCATCTTTATTTTAATAAATGCCTCATTACAGTCTGCAAGGAGGTACTTGGCTTTCCTGTGATAGATTCGAACTACTCCCAGTAAGAGGTGTCCTGAGGTTCGGAGCGCCATCTTCACCTATGAATAAAACACTACTATGAATCTAATCTATGAAGTTAATTTTGTAAGTTTAGAGCTAATAGTACTCCAAAGCCTATCTTTCATGCAATTTATAGGCAATTATGATGTTACTGCTTTATGCCTTTTGTGATTTATTTAGAAGCAACATCATCTATAATTTCTTATTACTTTTAACTGTAAATTCCCTGAGTATCCCCAAATGACAGACTGGACAATAACCTATGAATTAACAGGGACTTGAAATAGCTCCGAAGGAAGTATGAAAGTGTCCCACAGACTGTTTCATTAGCACACTACAGGGTGTTGTGGCCTACCAGAAGACATACCCTCCTCCTAGCTGGCTAAATAAACTTTGATTTTGTTTGGAAAATGAGTATCTGCAGACTCGAAGGATGATTATCTCACTCCTTTCTGCTAATGTCTGTTCTTCAATAAACCAGTTCTGCCAACAATAAAGTCTGTCAGAGAGATTCTAAGAAAGACTTCCCCAATAAAAGAAGAATGTTCCTTCCTCCTTCCTTCCCCTTTTCCTGCTTTCTAAGTGTGTAGAGCTTGGAGGTGGTTGCAATCACTAGGTAACCCTGAGGCTGAAACTCTGAGGTCAAGAAGCCCACATACCAAGGCTAAGTCCCTGGGTGTCCTGGAGCTGCTGAACCAATCAAGAACTTCCCTTCCGACTTGTAGCTAAGTAATCCTGCTGCATACACCTTACTGTTTGACCCACTTTTCACTGACCTTCTATCACTTAACTGGAAAGCACAGTAACTCATAAAGGTAATTGTGCATTTTTTTTCACCAGGAAACAGATTCCTCAGCCAATTTCTTTTTTCAAGGCAGATCTTGACCAATGCTTATGTGGACTCCAGGGTATGAGGTGAAAAGTTGGGAAAAGAATTACAAGTAAGCACCTGATCTAAACAGAGTGATTCAAAATTCCCTGGGCAATAACAGGAATATTTATTGAGGGAACAAGACAACATGAAGTCAAGCTTCCCTAGATAGTTTTCCAAATCATACCATGAAAGTTACCTAACTCTAACATAGCAAAATTGGTTAAACATTTGTTTAAAGTTTAAATTATAATGAATACATTGTTACTTGTAAAATACAATGTTACATATTTAAGTTACAGGTATATTCTAATTAATGAACTCTAGGATCCTATTCATGACTAGGTGCTTCAAACATTTATGACCATTTTACATGACTTACAGCATAAATACAGTATTTACTGTTAAATATTCTTAGATAACTGAAATTATAATAAATATGTATACATCTGATGGTAAATCCCTGATACGAAAAGTAATTCACAATTAAAATATCGTTCCTATGGAAAAACAGACTCTACTGTTATGATGTAGTTTTAGGAGAGAAATCTTTCTGGCTAAGTTTGGTTCAGAGTTTAGGCTAGGAGCAGGTAAAATGAGGTATGAAACTCTGGCTGTTGAGCTAACTCACGCGAAGAGTCAGGTATGGATGGTAAAGAGAAGTTATACATTCTGGGAATGTTCTGCAGAAGGTGTCACTGGCTATTTCAACAAGGAGAGAAGAGGAGGAGGAGGAAGGAGAGGGAAGAAACAGGGAAAAGGAGAAGGAAAAAAAAAAAAAAAAACAACTCAGTGCCCTTGAGTCACATCGACTCATAGCAACTCCTCCTTGGGTTTCTGAGATGGTATCACTATGGAAGTAAATTAGATTGCCCAACCTTCCTTCCGAGAGTGGCTGGTGGGCTTGAACTGTCAGCCTCACGGTTAGCAGTCAAGTGCCTTAGGCACTCCACCATCAGAGCTCCTTACAAGTCTGATACTTGTTCTAAATGACTAAATAAATCAACATTTTCCCACCAAAAAAAATAACTGTACATCAAAGACAAACATTAGAAATTCACTCTGTGTAAATATCTTTACATTCTGTTACTACAACGACAACAAAAATCCAAAACAAAACCTATCAAACAAAAACCAATTTAGGAAGGTCTTTTAAAAATTTACAGAATTCTTATACGTACACAATCACACGCTACAGATATTTTACCTTCTTCCTGAACCTTAGGCCTTGTTTAGTGCACATCTTATACATTCCTAAGCGTAAGTCCCTTAAGATCAGACTGTCTCGTTATACTGTAGGGTCCCTAAGAGTACAAAGTACTCTGCACATACTATGAAAAAATCTGTTACCCTCTCAAGCTGAAGTTCCCTCAATATTTGTTTATGGACGTTAAAGATTAGCCACATGTACCAGTTTCAAGAAGAGTCCAGCTTCTCCCCTTTCCATTCAGTTGTCTTAGTTTTAACTTTTAACTAAAAAGTTAGCATATCTGATAAAAGTGTATGTGTGGGAACCCTACATTCTCACACAATTCTACCAGCACTGCAAACTGGTACATGCTCTTCAGAAAGCAAATTGTAAATACAAATGAGAAATCTTAAATATTAGGCGTATCACTTGGCCCAGCAATTATATTCTCATGCACCAATTTTAAGATTTAAGGATGTAATCAAAGAGTTAGCAAGAAATATGTTCACTTCTCCACCTATCTTTTCCGAACATTTCTCTACTACATCTCCAGCTTAATTTCTCGAAGATCCCCTCACTCTCCCAGCAATACACAACTACTCATTTAAAACAACAGTAACAACATTATGCCAGTACAATCCTAATTGGCAGCTTCTCAGAAGAGAAGTTCCCAATGCTAGGAACCCATTGTGAACTGGAAGTCGTTAACAATAGGACAATTTACGTGTATGTTAGTACGCACACATAACAGAGTCCAAAAAGGACCTTTAAAACATGTAATTTTATATGCGCGCCCACACATAAAATATATATTTAAGGATTTTCCCCTCATTTTGGCATTTGTCCTTCATACTTTTTTAAAGTCAAAGTGTCTGTTTTCCAGTGAAATGGTAATTAAGACTCTCTGTTTTAAAGCCTTTTCTTGGTAAAATAAAAACTATCTATACCACTCACTCAAGTGGAGTAAGTGGTATAGATTTAAAAAAATCCCAATAAACCAAACTCACTGCCGTCAAGTCGCATCCAACTCAGAGAGACCCCTCCTTGGGTTTCCGAGGCTGTATCACTACAGAAGTAGATTGCCCAATCTTCCTTCTGGGGAGTGGCTGGTGGGTTTGCACTGCCAGCCTTCTGATTAGCAGTCAAATGCCTTAGGCACTACGCCACCAGAGCTCCCAAGTGGTATAAATAGTATTTGCCAAGTAGGTAAGATAGTTAACCTGACCCCTCAACCACTTTATTACTGGGTCCTGGGAGGTGTGCCGCTCCCTTGAGTAAACAATCTGGCCTTTGGTGCTGGTTTCTGAGAGGCTGACCACATCTGAGGCCAAAGAGTTAGAGCTGACCAGATTCAAGACAGACCACCTGGAGTCAGAAGCGGACTAAACCTTAGAAGGCATAATATAATTTATCATGGCTTCATGGTGAGGCCAATAAAAGGCCTTGGAAAAGAAAAGGCTCACTGAAGCTTCCTAGGTGGAGAGAGCTAACACCTGTTCTTAAGCATGTCCCTGGGTGTGTGGAAGGTCTTTGCATAGGCCCATCCTAGACCTAGCCCTGTTTGCCTGTATCCTTTTTCTTCCCAAGATAGCCCTTTTCTTGCACTTTGTGAGTCATTTCAAGGAATTATTGGACCTAAGAAACAGGAGGGGCCATAGAGCAGCTAAGGTCTGGACTGACCATGGAAGGAGGCTGAACTCCACATAGGATGCAGCTGGTGTGTAGAGGGGAATTTGTTATTAGTACACAATTGAGCATCAGAGGTAGATGACCTTAGTCTTCATTGGACTGGTTTGACACTGACTTACAATCCCTTATTTTGAAAATGTTGTAGATTCCTAAATCAAGAACATTATCAAGAATGTGCGTGTGCGCACACACAGAGACCACACACACACACACACACACACGTCTCTCAAGTATTAAAACATCTAGAAAGTCAAATAAAAAATATTAGGGTACCACCCCATGTCATACATACCCACCATTAAAACAGGTTAATGAAAATATCTGCAGTCACAGAATTTGTAGAGGAAAGAGATTATCAAACTGTGACCGTATCACATCACACCCAGAGTGATAAAGATTTAAAATACCAACAGGAAATATGCCTGCAATAAATATAAGTGCCTACTTAAAAAGCTGTTTTACAGATTCATATTTCACAGATCAGTGGACAATTGGCAAATGATAAAAATACTGGCATCAAACATACCTTGGGTGAAATGATACTCTCCACACTGCTCTCTAAATTACACTCGAATACATGGGCTTTGGTTAGCTTCTTATCCCAATGGGCCGCTAGCCAAATTTTGGCCAGAGGCCCTCTTTTACTCAGGACAAAATGTGCGTAGAACATTGTTCTGGTTGACTACAAGACAGGAGGAAACCTGATGGGGAGAGAAAGTTAATGTAAGTACCATATGAGAGTAAATGTATTTATTGAGACAGGTACAAAATCTATACGAGTATAATAAAGCATTTTAAAAAAGAACTCATGGCTTTCATTCTGAGGGCAAATAAAGACTCCAAAATATTAAGAGCTGAAGAGAAAAGGGGCAGTTAAGGGTCAAATCACATTCACGCCCTGTTGTCATCTTACTCAAAATAGAGGTCCTACTTTTTTAAAAAAATAAAAATCATCATCAGAAAACTCTTGCTTCTTGAGGCTCCACCACATGTTTCATTCCATTCTGAGCCTAATTACTGCCTAAAGGAGGAGTCTGCTTACTGGACAAGTTTCATGGTAAGAAAAGATGTCTAAGAAGAAAACTATTCAGGCCTATTATTCAATATGGAAACTTCCATTTTTAGAACTCCATTCAAAACTGAGATTTTTAAATACTTTCTACAATAATTGCTACTATATGATAAGCACTGTGCTAAGCATTTCATATTCAACCAAGCAAAGGTAAGTAAATGGGTTAGACCCATTTCATAGATGGGTTACTCAGAAAAACTAAGGCTTACAAAGGTGAAGTACTATAATGTACTTGTTTACTTAAAATTTAAATACTAAATCCATGACAATGATTAAAAAAAACCATTGCTGATGCGTCCATTCCAACTCATAATGACCCCATAGGACAAGGCAGAACTGCGTCATAGGATTTCCAAGGCTTCCAAGGCTGTAATCTTTATGGGAGCAGACTGGCACATCTTTAACCTGTGGAGTAGCTGGCAGTTTGAACTGCTGACCTTTTGGTTAGCAGTGGAGTGCTTAAACACTGCATCACCAGGGATACTATATGACACTGATACACTATAAAATTTACTTTATGACTAAAATTGTCTCAGCAAAAATATAAGCATATTATTTACATTTCATTTTTCTTTCAGCAAATCAATGTATGGATACATATAGAAAAAAATGCAGCTTGAAGTCCAGTTTGGAGAAAATACATTAACTGCAGAAATTATTATTTCTTTTAGTATTATTTAACTTCCCTCTTTCATAAAGTAAAACAAATCCATTTTGCCAGCTGAATTTTTTTCTAAAACTTCTATGATTAGAGTAGACATGAGACAATGCTTAAACCACAACACATGAAAAGAACGCAATTTTTAAAAAATCTTTTTCATTTTGAAATAATTGCAGCCACAGGCAGTTGCAACAATCGTACAGAGAACTCCCCTGTAACCTTCCCTTCATCCAGTTTTTCCCCAAGGTGACATCTTACACAATTATAGTATATCAAAGCAGAAAACTGACAATGGTAATGAGTGTGTAGTTCCATGCTAATCTATCACGTATAGATTTGAGTAACCACCACTAAGATCAAAATATAGAACTTTTTCATCACAAGGATCTCTCCCCCCATCCCTTTAAAGTCACATCCACCCCTTGTTCTTTACCATCCCCTCCTAAGCCCTCACAGCCAACACTCTGTTCTTCGTATTTAATTTTCTCATTTCAAGAATGCTACATAAGTGGAATTATACAGTATGTGACTTTTGGAATGGCTATTTGCAGTCAGCAGAACGTCTTTGAGATCCATCCAAACTGATCCGTGTATCAACAGTTCGTTCCTTTTATTGCTGAATAGTGTATTTCATGGTACAGATATACCAAAATGTTTAGTCTTTTACCCACCGAAGGACACTTGGTTGTTTTCATTTTGGGTTATTACAAATAAAGCTACTATGAATACCTTTATTTATTTTATAGACTCCTGGTGAATATGTATTTTCATTTCTCTGGGACAAATGCCCAGAAGTGTAACTGCTAGGTCATGTAGTAAGTGTCTATTTAGCTTGAAAAGAAACTTAACTTAAATCCTATCAAAATCCTAGGAAATTTTTGATAAATAAATATGGACAAGATTATTCTAAAATTTATACGGAAAGGCAAAAAACTAGGAAAAGCTAAACCTTATTTTGATGGAAAAAAAAGTGAGAGAATTTTGTTAGTCATACCTGCAAATGACTTTCGACAAAACTACAAAGGCAATTCAAAGGGACAAGAATCATCTTTTCAATAAATGGTTCTGCTGTTGTTGCTGTTGTTATGTGCCGTCGAGTCGGCCCCAACTCATAGCGACCCCTCCTTGGGTTTCCGAGGCAGTATCACTATGGAAGTAGGATTGCCCAACCTTCCTTCCGAGGAGTGGCTGGTGGGTTTGAACCGCCAGCCTTCTGGTTAGCAGTGAAGCGCCTTAGGCACTATGCTACCAGAGCTCCCATAAATGGTTCTAGAGCAAATAAATATCCACAGACCAAAAAACCCCCTCAATCTAAACCTCATACCATGGTTAACTGAAAATAGACAACTGACTTACATGTAAAACTGTAACATTGTTAGGAGAAACAAACAACAACAGAAACACTGGAGTAATTCTTTAGATCAAAAGCATGGTGACAAATTCTTAGACCCACGAAAAGTAGCATCCCTCAAAGAAAAAAATCGAATACACTAGCCTTTGTCAAATTAAAAACTTTCACTCTGCTAAAGATCCTTGAGAAAATGAAATGACAAGCTACAGACTGGGAAGAAATACATGAAATCAGGTATCTGACAAGGACTTAGATCTAGAATATATAAAGCTCTCAAAATTTAAGAGTGAAAAAGTTAAATTCAATTAGAAAATCAGCAAAAGACAAAGGAAAAAAAAATATCACAGAAGAAGATACAGTGATGGTCAACAGGAACATGAAAAGATGCTCAATATCATTAGTCATGAGAGAAATGCAAATTAAGACCACAATGAGCTATCACCACACACCTATTAAAACGATAAACTAAACTAAACTCGGTGCTGTCGCTTCTGATCCACAGTGACCCTACAGGAGAGAATAAAACTGCCTCATAGGGTTTCCAAAGCTGTAATCTTTACAGAGGGAGCTCTGGTAGCGTAGTGCCTAAGGCACTTGCCTGCTAACCAGAAGGCTGGTGGTTCAAACCCACCAGCCACTCCTTGGAAGGAAGGCTGGGCAATCTACTCCAGTTGTGATACCACCTGGGAAACCCAAGGAGGGGTCACTATGAGTCAGCTCTGACTCCATGGCATATAACAACAAAAACAATCTTTACAGAAGCAGACTCCCTCTCATCTTTCTCCAGGGGAGCTGCTGGTGGGTTCAAATCACCAATCTTCTGGTTAGCAGCCATGGATTAACCACTGTACTATCAGGGCACCCTATATACCTATTAATAATGCCGGTGATGATACAGAGAAGCTGATCTCTCATACAATGCTGGTGGGAATGCAAAATTTCTTTTGCATTAGCTTTTATTTTTGCAGCTTCATGGAAAATAAATTAGCACTAATTTTCATATTTTCAGATATTGTCAATTTTTCTAAAACAAGAACATTGTTTATTGTACTTTCAATTAAAAACTATGCCTTTTCTTTCCAATGGTGTATTGAAAAAATGTTACTAGTTAAACATATCACAGATGAGAGATTTCATGCCTGTCAAAAAAATTTTGGGGAACAAGACCTAGTGTTACAAGTGTAATGCAGTCAAGTTGTCTTATCTCCATTTTTCATCACTAATGGTCCTGAAATTAACATTTTTTAATGAAAATGTAAATTTTTCCAAAACAAAACAGACCAGGTGCTGTCCAGTCAACTCAGACTCAAGGCAACCTGTTATCAGAGTAGAACTATGCTCCATAAGGTTTTCAATGGCTGTGATCTTTCACCAGGCCTTTCTATGTAGAAGCCTCTGGGTGGATATGATCCACCAATATTTTGGTCACCAGCCAAGCTTAACCGTTTGGCCCACCCAGGGATTCTCACTTTCAGTGGATCCTAATTCACACTAGGACGATTTTCTCAAAAGAAAAAAACAAAACAGGATACATCAATTGCTCAATCTTCTGGGTGGATATGATCCACCAATATTTTGGTCACCAGCCAAGCTTAACCGTTTGGCCCACCCAGGGATTCTCACTTTCAGTGGATCCTAATTCACACTAGGACGATTTTCTCAAAAGAAAAAAACAAAACAGGATACATCAATTGCTCAATCTTAATTCCTTTCCCCAAATGTGGAGTTACAAGAAGAAATAAAGAATATTGAAGTAGGATAAGAATCACACTGTAGGCTAGAAGTGAAAAACAAATGCTACCTTAAAAGTCCCATTTATGCCACTTGTTGTTGTTATGTGCCATCAAGTCGGCCCTGACTCATAGCGACCCCTCCTTGGGTTTCCAAGGCAGTATCACTACGGAAGTAGGATTGCCCAACCTTCCTTCCGAGGAGTGGCTGGTGGGCTTGAACCGCCAGCCTTCTGGTTAGCAGTCAAGTGCTTTAGCCACTATGCTACCAGAGCTCCTTTATGCCACTTAGCAGTGTTTTATAAATCAAGATATGTCTTCCATAATCAAAGGAAGGAGCTCTGGTGGCACAGTGCCTAAGGCATTTGACTGCTAACCAGAAGGCTGGTGGTTCAAACCCACCAGCCACTCCATGGAAGGGAGACTGGGCAATCTACTTCCGTAAAGGTTTACTGCCTCGGAAACCCAGAGGGGGTTGCTATGAGTCGGAATCGACTGATGGTAGTGAGTTTTTGGTTTTATAATCAAACTGAACCCCCTACACTGCAAACCAGTGCTTCTACTTTAAGCCTCAAAAAGTTTGTTACTACAAAACTTAAGCTACTCCTAGGGGAAGATTCTCAACAAGATGGACTGACACAGCAGCTGCAACAATGGGCTCAAGTACAGCAAGCACTGTGAGCATGGCACACAACTGGGCAGAGTTTCCTTCTGTTGTGCGTAGGGTTGCTGTAAGTCAGAGTCAACTTGACAGCACTTAACGACAACACTAACAGTTGGTAGCTGCCCTCAAATCAATTCCTACACATAGGGTTTTCAAGGCTGCAATCTTTCAGAAGTGAATCACAAGGCTTATCTTCTGCTGCACTACTGGGTAGGTTTGAACT